TTAATCCGCCACATGTCTTGAGCCGCTGTTCATATGATAGTTGAATGGATGAAAATGGATGAATGGATCGGATGTATGACAAATGTGTGGCAATTCATGGCTCGTATTGATAGCTCGCAGCCATTATAGCCATTATTTACAGTTAATGAGAGCCAGTCCTACATCCAGTCCCACATCCAGTCCTACCACTAGTCCTCACCCTTAGAGACTCAACACTCACTCTCCTATACCTGTAATACCTTTCAATATATTGAATATTGCAGTAATACTGTAATACCTGTGATATTGCTATTATACAGGTATAGCATGAGAGGCACTAATACACCACTCGATGTAACTTAAGTTATATTTGATATGAAAACTAAAAACTTCTCAAAACAAGTCTCTAAAAAAGTTTATTTCGAAACAACTATTGGTTAGTAATGTATAGACATTAACGCCAAACGAAAGGTTATGTTACGATAAATTAATTTCAAATTCAGTCCAAATGTCAAAACTTTATGTCTTTAAGGGATGAACTGAACGCCAAGAATGTGGCAAACATTAAGCCAATCCTTCACATTAAATACCTTTTTATTGATAAATGACTTTATATTTGGATTATATTTTGTTTATTCACTTATACTCACAATAAATAGCAATTTCAAGTTTTGTTCAATTGCTTCACATATAAACTGACTTTAGTTTTAGTCATAAAAAATATAATTATTATTGTAATTATAATATAAGAATTATTTTATTACTTATATTATTTTCAATTCACTCAAGTTATTTGAATTACACTGAATATGATCACAAGATTAACACCAAGTGGACGACCAGGATTAGCATTATAGCATAAAGGTTAACGTTTGCACTTTTATACACCGATATAAAAATAGAGTTGAAATTCTTGTTTCAATGAGATTTTGAACTCAACATTAAATATTCGTTCAATAAATCAATAAATTTTTGAATTTATTCCCAGAATTACGGTTCAATTCATCCAAAGATTTGATATTATTTTTATTTGATATTTTATTCAATTAATAGAATTTTCAATTTATAAGTGAATTATATTTATTTAAGTAAAAGATATAACTATAATAACGTCATAAAGTATATCAACAATAAATAGCAATCAAATTATTTTATCTTTTCTTAACATTTTAATGACAACATTAAAGATCGCAACGAATGCTTCGGTTATTACTGAGAAATTCAGCTTTTAGTAAGAATTTGTGTAAAGAATAAAATATGAATTAATTCGAGTTTTAATATTAATTTATATAACATTTACATAATATTGGATTCTTATACTACAAAAACTTTGTTTAAAAACAGTTGCATAAACACAGTTGAAAACACAACAAAACTTAACGTAATTAAAGTGCAACATAATTATCAGTCCTTATCACAACAATTATTATTATTTTAAGTAATTTATAGTAAGCTTAATGATAAAATTATTGTTAAAATAATGTTATTGTTAAACAAATATGATTTTTTTCATAAAAATATTTCATTAAATGATCTAAAATAAGGTTTTAAAAAATAATTGTTAGACAAAATTTTGTTTAATTGTCTCAAAACTATTTAAAACCTCGAAATAATTAAATAATAAAAGTTTTTGTCGCTTTATTGACAAAAGAGACAAAATAAGAAACAAAATAAATACAATTTTCACCACAAAATCATTTTATGCATTTCAAACCAATCTATTGATAAATCTATAACTTATTTATAAACATAAAATGTTTTAATAAAAAATAAATATTAAACCAGATAAATGTGCGAACAATATATAGCCTTCACTTTTGACAACTCTTTTCCCAACAATGATATGATAGGAATTTAAAATAAACAACTCCTAGAAGTGTAACATATTATGAAAACGTTACATATCTTTGAAATAAAATTATTTGTTTTACAAAAACAATAGAAATGTTAAGTGAATTATAAATTTAACTCATTTTGAATTAGATTGAAATCAATGATAGGAAATAGATTTAAAGATTGTAGTGTTTTATGAAATATTTAAATTCATAATTAATATTGAGCTTAAATTCAATATAATGTACAGTATTATAGACGTGAAATATAAAGTACTCTATTATTCGCAATAATTTTTTTAAAGTCAACCATTAAATGGTTAGTATTCTATCCTTTATGCGTGAAAGACACAAACATTTCTTATACAAAACGGCCATAAATTGTGTATAAAACCAGATTTATATCACGAGTTCAGCCATTATAATACAAATCAGGTTTAAGTAAAAATATTCAATAAAAAAGTTCACAAAGTGTTGTTTAGACACCAGTTTTTTATACATTTCTCGATAGTATTGACATAAAATTGATAATTAAATACAATTTCTATTCTATAAAAAGTACTATTAATGATAAGTTATTAGTAGTACTATTAAAATAGTGATAACTATTAATGCGACAAAATGTTATCGTAAAATAACTTTCGGTAATATTCTGGTAGTAAATGAAAATATTTAATCCTTAAAAGCATATATTTTTGTCATTTGACATTATATGCGATATATGAAATGATTAGATGTATTTTTCATTCAATTACCATTGAATAACTATATAATTAATTAGGTTATAGTATTCATTATTTTGTTACATTAGATATCTATCAAATTATATTATAAATAAATTCTCTAATAAATACACTAATATTTCATTTTCTGAGTATTTATTAGTTCACAAAATACTATTTTTATTGACATACTGTAAATGCAAATATCATTTAGAGAATCAAAACTTAATATTATTAACAAATATTCGGTAATACTTTAGATATTTTTAAATATTTATTTTCAATTAAAACTACAAAATATAGTAAAATTTGTTAAAAACTACATTATATTTACATTGAATTTAAGTGAGTCTATTTAGATGCGGATCTATTAGATTCGAGCAAATCTTTTGCTTCATTTATTTTGGCCGCTAAATAGGGAGAACCGCCTGAAGAGTGACAATAGGATAGCATTAGTTTCAATACGAAGACAATTGTATGGTCTGTGCGTTCATACCTCTGTCGGGATGATTCAATAGCATAATGCGTTTGTGAGCCTCTTTCACCTTCACTTTATTAGCCGATGGACTGATTCCGAGCACTAGTCCCGCCTCTCGGCGATTCATTTTGGGATCAAAGCCTCCCCTATAGTACTTACTGTTGGCCAAAGACTATACATATTAAGACAATTAGTGGTAAGAATGAAGGCATCCAATCATCACTTACGCCAGAAGTTGGCAACGATTTCGATAACATATCTCCCAATCCTTTGGATCGCCTCAATATCGCCCGTCCTTTCAATACAAACATTTCAATGCATAAAACATTTAAACAATTATTGTCTCATATTTACCACCGAAGCCAATGACAGCCAAAGCCAGTCCAGCCGTTACAACACTCGACTAAATCATTCATATGTTTATTACAATCTATTAATTGTCTAATCATTGCTTCATTTCTTACCATTTGATTGGATTTAAAATCAATTTAATTGTTGAGAGGTTTTCAAAAAAGCGATACAAAAACACATGCAATGAACGAAACGCATATATTTTGCACACTTTTATGCAGTAATGAATGACTCGACGAAACAAATGCAACAGTAATTGAATGTATGCTATATATTGGCGTCAATAACGTTAATACATAAAGTCAGATTATTTTGTTTTTGTCGTTATATAATACTACTCTCAAGCATTGACAGTGCATTGAATGTGTATATCACGCATGTCTGCTACTCACTCACCACTGCTCTGTAGTGCTGTAGTATACGTCTACATGTATTGCATAAGGTCAAAAAGAAAATAATCTGACTTTATGCAGTCAATGTGTGACAAATATATGACATTCAATGTAAGCATCGATTGAATGATGAAATGTATGCAAAGTATCAATGAATTCACTTTACGGACCCTCTCTTGCCATCTATTGGCCACTCTATACATACAAATAAGCCGTCAAACAGTCATTAATGACGTAACAGAGAGGAGGGGTGGGGGCAGAGGGGGACAGAGGGGACACACCATTGGTGTGAATGGTTTGTTATAAAACGACTGAATTAGTGGTCATTATATAAATAGTGTACAAATTTAAAACGTTTTTATTGAGCGCTCCTTTGAATGTATTTTTAAATTGAAAAGTATTTGTTGTTTACATTTGTTTTGATTGAAGACATGTTTTGATGAATGAATTAAATGGAAATACATTTCAATGAATCACTAATTGTTTGATTGAAATGTGTTTTTGAAAGAGTAGTCCTCTTATGGTTAGCATTGAATCAATCATTGAATCAATCATTTAATGAAACAGTGATTTGATAACAATTAATAGTAATGTTTATAATGTTTACAATCAATGAATTGCTTTCGTTTCAAAGACCGGTATTTCTATTGTATTTGTATTTCTAATGTCTGTCTAAGAAATGAATGAATGGTTTATTGAAATAATTAATTGTTTTTATTATCAATAATTGATTGTATGATTGAATGTATGGTTTGGTTGCTCTGGAAGTGATGTATTGAAGAGTGATTCGTAAGCCATTGAATGGTTGGATCAGTTGATTACAGTACAGTAGGTATGATTAGCGCAAGGTATTATTAACGGTATATGCCATCTGGTGGAGCATCTGTATATGCTGTCTCGCATAATAACCATTACTTATAGTACTTTATGGACCTATTTATTACTGCTATACCATAACGTGTTATATATTAAAAAGTACCAAGTGTCAATTATTACATTACAATGGTCTCCACCAGATGGCATATACCGTTAATAATACCTTGCGCTAATCATACCTACTGTACTGTATTACTGCTATACCATAACGTGTTATATATTAAAAAGTACCAAGTGTCAATTATTACATTACAATGGTCTCCACCAGATGGCATATACCGTTAATAATACCTTGCGCTAATCATACCTACTGTACTGTATTAAGAGTTTGTGATTCACTGTCTATTGATTTGGTTATAAACTAATTGTATTTAGTCTTCAAATCGTTTATTACTGTTTTGTTTGTGATTTTATTACTTATTATTTAAATTGTTGTTTGTTTTAAAAGTTATAATCATTTTCTAAGTGTTTTTGTATTCATTTTGATTTCTATCACATTTTAGAGAAATATCTAAATATAATGAGAAAATCATTTCTTTGATTAATTTTTT